GCAAAGATGCATTTTAAAAATATTTTTAGAATTTTCAGAAAACAGAGGTCCCGCTCGAGCGTGGGTTTCCCCGCTCGAGCGGACATGCAAACAAAAGGCTCTGCTCGAGCGTAAACTTTCCCGCTCGAGCGTACTGCAAAAGTACTGGATGTATAAAAATCACGCTCGATGGGCGTTCGACACCCGCTCGAGCGTGTGACACAAGCCCTCGCTCGAGCGTGCAAAACCCCGCTCGAGCGAACTGTAAACACAACAAAAGTGCTGGATACACGAATTTCCCGCTCGAGCGCCACTTACCATGCTCGAGAGGGAGTCCAAAATCTGGAATTTCCAGATTTGAACCTCAAGCTCAAAATCAAGTTTCAATGCATCAAATTAGATCCTTTTGGGCCAATTTTCTGGGAAACACTTTAAAACTCATAATATAACATGATTCAAAGCTCAATTTGTAAAATCAAGGCCCAAAGGTGAGCCAATTAAACACAATTTCAAACAAATTCCATGAACATGATGTAAAACATAACATGCATGAATTTAATCAACTTCAAGCTTTCAAAACATGAACAAATGAGCCAATTCTTCCTATAACAAAATGAATTCATGGACTATACTCAAGATATGGACATGCATGTGAGGAATTTTCATGAAAACAACTTTAAACTTCAAAATATAAACATACATGCATGAATTAAGCCTCTATTCAACAATCTACAACCAATTTATGATCTTAAGCTCCTATTTACCATGAACCCTGCAACAATTAACTTGAATTCACAAACAAGAAGGTAAATGTCCTACCTTAGGTCTAGAATGCAAGATGTACTAGCTCAAATTGCATAATTAGCCTTCAATTCTTCTAGTTTCCAAGCCAATTCTCAAATGAAGCCAAGTCTCTCCTCTCTCTCTCTCTTTCTCTCGGTTTGGTCTCTCAAGGATGAACAAGAATGAGATGCAAGACTAAGTTTTCAACAATATTGGTGAAGTGGCCCACTAGATGGCATTTTAGTAAATAAAGCCAACTTATGTAATTTATCAATATTTAATCTAATTTAATCATACCAAATCACATTCCAATTAAATATACCATAAAATCATATAAATCTTAATTAGCACAAAACATCAATCAATTTCGGATTCGACCGCCGATAAGGCCTTCAATTTGCAATTTAAAGCATAAAACATGAGCAGATAATTTAACAGTCAACAGATAGGATTGCATTCAAACTAGCACAATCAATCAATCAGTTTAGTAATTCAGTCAATCAGTCAGTTAACATGCTTAATCATGGATTAGCACTAATCAGTGGTGAGAGTTGTCACAGTCTCCCCTCCTTATAAAGAGTTTGGTCCTCCAAACTCGAATTACCTTCGTTCTGGAAGAAAACAGGATTCAGTGGGAACAATGCAGAATATGTCTTCATCATATCATCTTCCCTTTCCCAAGTGGCATACACGCCACCATGGTTTTGCCAATCAACTTTCACTAACGGAATCTCTTTGTTTCTCAACTTCTTGATCCGTCTGTTCACAATCTGAATAGGCTGTTCTTCATAAGTGTAGTCATCACTTAGCACTACAAGGGTAGGCTCAATCACATGGAAGGGATCCCAAAGGTATTCCCTCAACATAGAAATATGGAACACGTTATGCATATGCTCCATTTCAGGAGGAAGCACTACTTGATACGCCACCAGATTGATTTTCTCAACAATCTCGTATGGTCCGACATATCTCGGCACTAACTTGCCTTTAACCCCAAAACGGGTCTGCCCTTTCATCGGTGTCACTTTCACAAAAACATGATCACCTACTTCGTACTCTTTGTCTCGCCTTCGGACATCCGCATAACTTTTCTGTCGACTCTGTGCGATTTTCAGTCTCTGTTGAATCAATTTCACTTTTTCAATGGTTTCCTGTACAATCTCGAGCCCAAGCAAAGGCCCATCTCCAACTTCTGCCCAGCAAATTGGAGATCGACATTTCCTGCCATATAAAGCCTCGAAAGGCGCCATACCAATACTTGAATGGAAGCTGTTGTTGTAGGCAAATTCAACTAAGGGTAGATGACTTTCCCAATTTTCCTGGAAATCAAGAACACACATCCACAGTAAATCCTCCAGAGTCTGGATGGTCCTCTCTGATTGACCATCTGTCTGAGGATGGTAGGCACTACTCAGTTTCAATTCAGTACCCAATACAGTTTGTAGGCTTTGCCAAAATCTCAATGTAAACTTCGAGTCCCTATTAGAAACAATGGACACAGGCACTCCATGCAATCTAACAATCTCATCAATATAGATTACAGCCAATTTGTCCGCATTATAAATTGTTTTGACAGGTAAGAAATGAGCAGATTTAGTTAATCTATCAACAATAACCCAAATTGAATCCATACCTTTACTAGAGCGAGGTAAACTAACAATAAAATCCATGGTAATATGTTCCCATTTCCACTCTGGTATCGGTAAGGGTTGCAGTAAACCTGCGAGTCGTTGATGTTCGGCTTTAACTTGTTGGCAATGAAGACATTTTAACACAAAATCAGCAATTTCTTTCTTCATCCCTGGCCACCAGAAATTCAATTTCAAGTCTTGATACATTTTCGTATTTCCTGGATGGATAGACAATTTTGAATTGTGGCCCTCTTGCAGAATTCTTTTTTTCAATTCAGAATCATTCAGTACACACAATCTTCCCTAAAATTTCAACACATTATTCTCAAATTTGAAATTCGACCTCAGTTTAGATTCTCGTTCTTCGATGATCTTCTTCAAGAAGTCATCCTATTGCTGTTTCTCTTTAATCTCTTCAATCAGTGCCGGTTGAGCAAAAATAGCAGCTAAGGTTCCACCTTGTTCACGCAAAACAATCTCAATTTCAAATCTTTCAAGGTCACGTAGCAACTCTTTCTGTCCGGTGAGTAAACAGGCAAAATTTCTAATTGATTTCCGACTCAATGCATCGGCAACGGTATTAGCTTTCCCAGGATAGTACAAAATTTGCAAATCATAGTCTTTAATTAGTTCTAACCATCTCTGCTGCCTCATGTTCAGTTCTTTCTGTGTGAAGAAATACTTCAAACTCTTGTGATCGGTATACACTTCACATGTCGTCCCATAAAGATAGTGACGCCAGATTTTCAGTGCAAACACTACTGCGGCAAGTTCTAAGTCATGGGTCGGGTAGTTCTTTTCATGCGGTCTCAGTTGTCGGGAAGCATACGCAATCACTTTCCCATTCTGCATTAAAACACACCCCAAACCCTTATGAGAAGCATCACTAAATACAGTATAACCATCTGTACCTGAGGGTAAGGTGAGAATCGCTGCAGTCACTAGTCGAGTTTTCAACTCTTGAAAAGCTGATTCCCTCTAATCAGTCCAGTCAAATGATATCCCCTTCTGAGTCAGCTGTGTCAGTGGTAGGGCAATTTTAGAGAAATCTTCGACAAAACTTCTATAATACCTGGCCAAGCCTAGAAAACTTCGAACTTCGGTGACATTTGTCGGTCTAGGCCAGTTCACTACTGCTTCAATTTTCTGTGGATCAACTGAAATTCCATCTTTACTGATTACATGCCCCAAAAACATAACATGATCAAGCCAAAATTCACATTTAGACAGTTTAGCATAAA